AGAGACTGACTAGATTTACACTGCTGAGAGGAAGGAAAAGAATCTTTTCAAATCACCATTCTTGAGATGGTGTATTTGACAAGAGAAACAACCATCGGATTTTACTGGAGAGAGAAGGGAAAAATATTTTTTGCTAAGCTGAATATACAGTTAATGCAGATATACTCTTAGTCACTAGTTATTCTTTGCCAAGACAAACACAGGCATAATTCACACAATACCTCCTCTCAAAAAAACCTGAGCCATACCTTTAACCTGACATGTCAAGATGGAAAAAGCAGCCAGAGCTGTCTGCATCACTTCTCAGTGACCTATCTCTCACCAGCAAACTGTTGTTTTTACTACTTTTCTCCTAAGATAAAGCCTGTTTGTAGTTCTGCAGGTGAGTTGTGGACATGGGACTGTTGCGATAACAAACATCACAGAACCAAAGGAGCAGGAGCTGGGAGAGGCAGAAATATGGCACAAGAAGAAATAATTTTATTGGCATGTACATCAAAGAAGCTGAACTTCAAAGGAGTGAAGTTGAAAAAAACCCAAAACTCAACAACCTTTCAGTTAATTCTCATTTAGTGCATTGGATTGTTTATCAAAATTCATAATATGGCATAGGCTCTAACTCCGTGCATTAGCTGACAAGCAAATCAGAACATCTGATGAATGTGTCAAACCCCTGTGCTTGGAAGTGACAAAATAAATTCCAGTAACTGAGGTCTGGTGGGTGTTTTCTTCCTGTCTAAATTTTGAAGAGAAAAAACCATCTGGTGCAGGAGAAACAGGCAATCTGAACAATTCTCCCCCCTCCAATTCCCAGGTCACTTACTAGGTCACTTCGAGGTGCTTCCTGATAGTCTGCTGAAAAGCAGGACATGGAAGTTCTTGTGCCATTGCTCTCACTGGCTTGCCGTGGAGGCTGTGCATATTGCCTGTATGTGGCACTCTTCGGCGTCCAGCGAAACAGGTTGATGGACTCACGAACACAACGCTCAATATCGATCTCTGATCAGGGATTTAAAGGAAAAACAACAAATGCAAGCGTGAAAAAATTAGGAAAGCCAATTAACCTAGATATGACATTGCTAAATACACATACATCCATCTACACCTCCGTCTCTCTCTTCCTTCCCCTTAAAGGGCATGTATTTTTCAAAAACATTTCCCATTAAAAAAAAAAACACTTAGAAATTTTGTACGAAGAATTAGCAAAGACATTTTTAGCATTAATTTTATCCCTAGTAATGTATGGAGATCTGTTTAAGAGAAGTGTAACAGAACTTTAATCAATGAATCAAAGCCTAGTCATTGTAAGGCATCTTCACTAAATGTCCTTGCAAGTCAGACTATTGACTCTTAAATCTATGTGCATGCAGTTCATCAAAAGCACATTTTATGCAGTGTATGGACATCAGGATTTTTGGATCAACTGAGTTTCTTATTTGTCAGTTAAATACTGCTATGAGCCAGACTGAAGGGTTTCTGATGTTCAACTTTATGCGGTCTGCCATTTTGACAAAGCCACGTTATTTGTTTGGTGGAAAACTGGACTGCTCAACACTAATTTGTGCTTGATGGCAAATGCAATGGATTTTAGAGCTTTTTTTTTTTTTTTTCTTTTAAAAAATTACAGTCCAAAACCCAACCAGAGATTCGCAGTGAAACATTCTGGCTAAATGAGTGTGCCGTGTGTGACAAAACAAGACCTGCGAGGAAAACAGACACCCATCAAATTGGAAGTATCCTAAAATAAGCTGCATTCAAATATAAATTACCAAAGCATAATGAAAAACATATGCAAAAGAAAAAACAGTAATCCTATTACAAATTACACGTAAACTTATTACAAAACCTATTACAAATACCATTTTTGCAACACTAAGCATCCTGCATGTATCTGTCTTCTAACAAGATGTAACATAAAAACCATTTACTATTACTATAAAAAGGTTAGTTTTGCATCTCCTGCCTGCAGCCTCATGAAGAGAAGTTATCCTAGCTCGTGTTTTATGAGAAACCCAGCGTATTGCATCAGACCAACAATGGGTATACAAGCACTTGTGTCTGTCCCAAGTGTCTTGGGTGATTTACTACAGCGCTCCCAATTTAGAAGAGTGAAGGAAGCATCAGCTTCTGTGAAGAAAATAGAGGCACTATAGTCAAACTTTATCTGTAATCACAAACAGATTTGATGCATTGCCATCAATCAGGGAGTTACTCCAGAAACCTCAGTCATTAGCAGGGCGGTGAGTGAAAGAAGCTAAAATTGAAGCTTGGGGCAGAATATTCCAGTTGGATCAGATTATTTACTCTGTTTAAAAGCTGAATGATGCGTTCTATTAATCTCCTGTGCAAAAAGCTGTCTGTATTCAGGTAGGATACAACCTGTCATATATGCTTTAATTCCATAGAAGACAACATGCTTATGTGCTACTTTGCTTTTGAAATCCTGAAAAATCTAGGACTAAAAGCTGTGGTTTACCTAATTTTAATTCTAGCTCAAACTTTTTTGTGGGTTTGAAAGTAATTTTCCTTAACCATACCAGGTTCCCTAGCTACTTGGGATAATACTTGCCAGAGATAAACGGACAATGTGGTGTCTCAACAGTAAGTAACAATTTTTTCATTTGTAGTATATAGTAATAGAAGGTCGTTACTAGTATCATTTCCAAGGAAAACCCACATAACTGGAGAATTTACCTGAATTTGGAAATTGTGTAAAAGACAGGAGATGCCTTTCAATGGTTATTATTCCTAGAGCTCAGAATACACTTTGAAGCATGGTCATTACAGTCACACTCTCTCTTCATTTCTGAAGACTCACTCTATCTATGAAAAGTTGGGAATTTAAGTTTGAGACATTAGTGTTTTTTGCTTCTTCTGTAAAGAGACTGCTATAACTGTGAGTTATAGCCCTGTGTCCTGAGATTCTCAGCTAAGGAAACATTAGCAGTACTTTTGTAATATATGAGATGAAAGCAGAATTTAGCCAGTAAAAAAAAAAAAAAATAATCTGAACAACAATTAATAGCACGAGAAATGTTTGGTTGTGAGAGGGCATAAGAGCCTACAAATACCTGAAATCAAAAACAGAGAACTGGGGGATGGAACAGAAACGCTGTGTGCAGTAGAAAGTTATGAAAAAGCTGAAAGCAGAAACTGAGATGGATGGAGTTAAGCATTGAGACAGACTATCAAAATATTTTTCCTAGAAACAAGCTCTGTAATTCCAAAAGGAATTGATTCACAGAACTGGAAAACGCAGCAATGGGTTTCCCCAAAAACGATAACCAGTTCTCATACACCAGGGTGAAAGTAAAAAATTTAGCAGTCTCTTGTTCTGTGATTCTTGGCTGTCTGGTTTCTCATTTCTTCTAAGCAGCATTTCAGGAGGACAGTGGCCATGCCTGAAAACACAATTTTATGGAACAAGAGGGAATTTTAAATGGTTTAGGAGGGAGGCCATCAAAAACCTAACACCAATTTACAGTCTGCTGATTAGTTGATCTGCTTCTAAGTAAAGCAAAATAAAAATATAACAAGAAGATTATGGCTTCCACAGACAATAATAATAAAAAAACATATGCATAAGCACATGTATGCACATATATGGGAACGGTCAACGTTTATCACCCACAAGGGAGACAAGACTATTGGTAGTGAAAGAATTTACTTACATTGTTTTTTTAAAAACAATTAGTACCAGGATACTGGAGTTTAAGACAACATTAAACCGGTGTAAATATTTACAGAATATTTATTAGTTACATTTCATGAACAAGTTTCACACTTGAGTAACCTTCGAGTCTGTCTTCACCCTTTGTTTGAAATTTCAGTTTAAGAAAAATCACTTCCCATCAGTAACTAAAATGCAATGTAATCTTTTGTAGCCTTGCTGGATAAGATCTTTGCTCCTCCTTTTGGCTAATAAGTAAGGGGCTGCTCTGCTACTTCAATTCCAGCCTCTTCCCATGCCCTTTCAAACATATGACAAATGAGTCAGTCTCCAATTAAATGTCCATCTTTTGTTACCACATCAAGACTTTGCATTCACACAGTATTAATCCTGCTTATTCTTTTCCTGCTCCCAAATAACTGTTACAAGCCAGAAAGCATTAAGGCTTATGCATTATTAAAAACATACTGTTGATACGTCAGAAACGTAAATATATCAAGCCAGTGCCTAGATTCTTGAGCAGAACTATGAACAAACAAAGAAAGTACCTCACCAGGATGCTAGACTACTTGCCATGTGCAAACAACTTAGAAGAACATCCTTCTGAGAGCAAGCTCTGTATAAATCTCAAAGTGTCAGCAAGAAGCAAACAGAAACATTTAGAAAGGACATGGAAGGCCTGCTCACTCATGTACCTATAACAACTCTGTGCTCTCCAAAGTCCCAACGCTGGGGTGTTTTGTAGTTTAAGAAGCACGTGCCTTCTGGTTTTATTCAAATTTTTCTGCTGGAAACTCTGTAATGAAAACATGCTGACATAACATGCTGCCATGAACTGTGAAGTGCGCACCGAAAAAATTTAAGCCTAACTTTAAAAATAATACATATAAAAATCAGTTCTCATTTCTAAATTTAGTATGTCTTCAAGCAGTCTGGTTTTCAGAAAGTGCAGAGCACCTGTATTTCAAAAAGTCAAAGTTGGCACCCAAGTATCTAGGAACTAAAAATCACAAGTTTTATTTTAAAACATGGGTTTTAGGAGTTACGGCTCAACTGAGCTGAAGTATTTAACAGTCAAGCAGCAATCAAGCCTTACAGGAAACAATTCTATGGCACTAGCTAATTACTCCATTTCTTGGCATCAAAAGACTTCTCCTGAGATTTCTAAACATGCAAATAATACAGGAATTGAAAAAGATAGGGGTGGGAAACAAAGTAATCTGACAGTAATATCCTGTTTTTGCCATGGCCCCATCTCCATATTAAGCCTACTGAAATATTTTGCTCCTTTTCTGAACTAAACTTCCTGGTTGCTCTAAGATGTTACTCGCTTTGCTCTGTTCATGCTGAATTTTCACTCCCTACCAAGCTGCTGCCTCCCGCTGTCAACAGCCTCAACTGAAAAGGAAGGTTCAGCCTGACATAGCTGCTTTTTAGCTACATATGTTTGGTCTTTATTATTATAGACACAGGAGAGAAGTGGACTGCACCTGAAACAGATGTTAAAAAGAAAGCATCAGTTTAAACACGATATACCTGTGACAAAAGCACATGGAATTTTTTATTTTTACAGCGAAACCGGACGCACATACACTGTTCACAAGTTAAAGAAAGTAATGGAGAAAAATATAACACGAATCGTTCTTTCTTAATGAAAACGTACACAGACCGAGTCTTTGTGTGCAGTTAATGAATTCCAGAGCCCTTTCCTTGAGTAACAGGACACCAGTTAAGAAATTCAGCCAAAATAAACTGCTTCTGCATTTTGAAACAGTCCAGAATTATGGGCCTGATTTGACCTCTCCATCACAAATAGTTTATTACTACCCTGCCAGGCAACATCGGCTTTCACCACACAGCCACAGAAATGGGCCAGAAAGCCTCTGTGCTATAAAAGCAGGGAAGCAGAACAGGTCAGTCAGTTCAATCTCATGATTCCTGCTCTCAGAAGAAATAGAGGGGAATTTTCTGGTAACATACAAAAAGATGCACTAAGCCTAGAAATTTAGAAGGACAAACCTAGGAAAAGAAGTGACACTTCTAGCCAACATCTCTGTATCTATTGCTGCTAGAAGGTTTCTACAAACGAAAAGCTCAATGCAAAGTTATTCTTTTTATATAATTTATTTCATATATTACAGGATAGTTCTGTTATTTCTTTGTTTTGCGGAGAGTAATTTGCAGTTACTTACACACATAAGCATCCCTTTCAGTGCATCTTGGGACAAAATTTCCAATGCAACATAAATACCAGTCATTAATTTTAAAACTGTTCAGCTGATAAGATAAAAGTCTTTGTTGTTCTTTGTACATGGATGCAAGATGTGCA